GAAAAAATCCAAGATGGCAGATGAAATGTTGATTATAAATATAATTCAAACCATTTTACCCAGAATTTGTGTGAATATGGAGTTGCTGCCTATGTAAAGTGTTGCACATCAGTCACTGTGAGGCTCTTTGTCCATTAAGATGCTCCCTTAGAAGCCAGCTGCCTATGTAGGCGGTAGGTAGCCCAATAGAATTCAGAACAGAGCCTTAATTCCTCCTGTCAGCGTCAAACAAAAACAAATGCCAAAATGCCCATGAGACGAAATGTGAATTTAAAACATGTTGTCTCCTTTGTTATTTCTCAATGGTTTAGAAATCCAACACTCAAGTTTATACCATGCATCCACACAAGTGTCCGTACAGGCTCGGAGGGTGTAGTGTAAGAAACACACTGCTCAGCGAAGTCACACTGGGAATATTGCTGTACAGTTATCCATGTGTCAGTGGAGGAGGATTTGCGACCTCTTGCACATCATGAATTGTTCAGGGCTACAAACATACAGATCATTTTAAAGCTGCGGGGCCAGAGCCCGGGTTCGGCTCTCCATGTGATATCGCTCCTCCAGCTTTACAATCTATTCCAGTTGGATACGATCAACATCCAATCAAATCCCAGTGAAGTAGACCCGGGATGTGTAATGAATGGCTCTGTGGGCATCTCTTTCTCAGCCAGTGAACAACCTCCCCTCCTCCCCCCAGCAAAATGAATCAATGCTGCAGTTTAAAAATAACAAGGAATATTATCCACTTCATGCATTGCTGAGTGAACCGCATGTGTTGAATGCTCTCTGACAGGCTGCATCAGAGCAGAATGTGTTTCAGCGTTTCTGCACGCCGGTCGCAGATCACGATGCAGGGTGTGGTGGGGTTTAAACGCTGTGCTGGGGAGGCTGTCCAAACAGCCCCATGATTCTGGCCTTATAGCTCATTTCTCTGTGGTGTAATGTTTCTCCATGGCCGTCATGCTGAGTTAGGTGTCGATGCCAGGATTAGAAAATGGCCTCCTCGAATAGGGCGACCCCTTTGTTGACCTTTTTCACCATCGTGCCGTTTTTGAGTTTAATTCCAAGGTGGTCCATTTGTGCGGTTTTGAAGAAGTATTCCAGGCATGATGTTGATTACTTCAAAATATTAATTTGGACTTGTCCCTCCCTTTCTTTAAAAAAAAAAAAGAAAAGAAAAAGTGGGAATGATTTAAGAGCAGAAATGTGAAGCTTATCATTTTTTTTTTATTTAATTTTCATTAAATTTATCAAAAGTGACTGTAAGGACATTTATAATGTTACAAAAGATTTCAAAATCAGCATATTAGAATGATTTGTAAAGGATCATGTGACACTGAAGACTGGAGTAAAGGCTGCTCAAAATTCAGCTTTTCCATCACAGAAATAAATTATATTTAAAATATATTAAAATAGAAAAATGTTATTTTAAATTGTAATCATATTTCACAATATTACTGTTTTTATTTATTTATTTATGTATTTATTTATTTATTTTTTGATCACATAAATACAGCAGTGGTGAGCATGATAAGACACTTATTTCAAAACATATTACTAACCCCAAACATTTGAATGGTGTGTGTGTATTTATTTATTTTTAATAAATATAACTTGATATAACTTGATGTGACACAATCACATCATGTTAAAATGCATATTGTTTACGTCTTGTGGCTGTATTGAAACAGTATTTTAGTGTTTACAGCCCAATTCACTTCCAATATAAGTACCTCACTGTTAGCCGGACCCTTTTTTAAAAAATAAAGAAGAGGGATAAGTGGAAATTAAATTTTGTGATAATCAACATTGTGCCACAAATACTATCCATTGAGTTTTAACAGCATGCAGATGCATTATGTAGATATGGAAATTAGGCTAAGTCAGGAAGCTCTCTCTCTCTCTCTATTATAATATTCAGTTCTGTAATGCCTAGGATTTTACCGGGGCATTACACTAAGATTACTGAAGAGAACCAACAGTTATGCCTCTAAAGGAAGAAGTGGAAGATTACAGCTTGGCTAGGATTGTCACATCTCATCCAGCTGTGCTCTCCAAACAGGAAGAGAGAGGTCAGGATATGTAGGTCATAGAGCACCTGCCTTGTTTGAGGGCTCAATTATTCCTCAAATGGCATCAGACCACAGAGACTTTACCCGACAGGACAGACCTTACATCACCGGGTGAGGTGTACGGAGGCGAACATTACTGACACTAGCTATGGTTTTGGTAATGCTGAGCACCAGCCTCCTGTTTGATGATATGATAGGACAGGATGTGGCAGGCAGAAAAAGGAGACGGGAGACATCGTCACCACTTCCTGCCCGTCTAGAGTGGCCTTTGTGTCCTCCATATGGCTGCATATGATTGTAAAAGAGGATGTAAGCACGTGTGGATGTGTTTGTGTGTGAGGTGTGTATGTATTGTTTTTTTGTTGTTGTTGTTGTTGTTTTTTGGGGGGCACATCCTGCATCCTTTCCCATTACATCATTGCACTGATCTGCACCTCTTCTTACAAGTTCTAAATTAAATACTAATATTTAGTCATGCCTAATTGATCTATCTGACTAAAGGAAATTGTGAAGACAATTTTTCATATTTTAAAGTATGACATCCATCTCATACTGTTTTATACACAATAAACAGCATTGTTTTAGCTCTTCAGTCTATGCAAAATCTAGTCAGGAAAACGTTGTTTGTGCATGCTGATTTCATCAGAGTAAACCGGTGTTGTTATTATCTAAAACTAAAACAATTATTCTATGGTAATTGAAATGAGAATATAAATGTTAGCTGAAAAACTTAAACTTATAAAAAATTTAATGAAAAGTAGAAATGTTGCCTTGGCAAATAACTGAAACAAGTTGGAAGTTGAAGTACTAAAATTATTCAAACTAAAACTGAAATAAAAATAAGTGTGAGCTAAATCGAAATAATAATAAAAAACTAATAAAAAGATCAAAAGCATATAAAGAAATTACTGAAATTAAAATGAAATATATAATAATTCAAAATATGAATCAATTCCTTAATAGTATATAAATAATACTAAAATAACACTGAATCCTACTAGGGTGTGTGTGCACAGTGTGAGTAGTAATATCCTGATTCACAATCATTATGAATTGATTCTTTTTAATGATTTGGTCAAAAAGACTCATGAAACAGCCTCAAACTTACTCACTCAATAAATCATCCCGAGCCATTACTAAGTTCAACTGAGTCATTTTTCATTTGTGTCTGGTTTGAAATGAACGTGAGAATTGTTACTCTGATGTAAACTTTTGATTTGTGAGAATTACATCGGTCTGTTTACTCTTTGGTTGTTCCTGTGTCAATGTACATAAAAATGCATATTCACAACACAGTTATGTTGTGTAAATTAATAATGGTATTCAGGAACAAAAAGAAAAAGTATGGATATTTCTGACAGTGATCTTCGTAATACTGTCTTTCTCACTTTTTTACCGCAACACACTGATGTGGTTTCTCAGTCAGATTTGCTGCTACTTCTGTTGTATTGCTAGCCTTGTTCTGTGTTAGATGGATGAATTCTCAAGAGCCTTGGCCCAAAATACAATCATCAAAGATTCATAAAAATTATCCCTAGCAATCAGATGGCCATTAAAATTTCAGTGCCCTGAATATATGCTCTTTCATAAAAAACAATGTTTTTGATATTTAAATGGAAGATTATGACACAAAATTACCTTATTCCAGTAGCTGATTATGAATTGGGTTCAATTGCTTATCCATGGTAGTGCTAGAATTGCTTTTAACCATCCAGCTTTTCATAGGGAGTTAACCTTTAGCCTTTTAAATTGGTAAAGAAAGTGATAAGGTTTATAGGTCATGTTCTATGCAAATATAACAGTGTTTTTCTTCCTCTGTGAACCTTCATTACTAGATTCATTTAAATTATTTTAAACATTTTCTTGATGTTGGACAAAAACGATGAGACACAAATCTCTAAAATTAGTATGAACTTCAAAGTTGACCTTTTTGATTTAGCATGTTTATTAGCGGCTACATGAACTTAGCGAGCCCCCTGGCCTTCACTTTAAAGCAGTCAGCTGTTTTTCATAACAGAACGGAGACTGCTTGTCAGTCTACACAATTCTTTGCGGTGGGACGCTTTTACATCAGTGATGTTTGTTGTGAGAGTGAAACTAAAAATGGCTGGTAACATATCCGTTCACAGCTTACCGTAATGCGAAGAATGTGTGCTGTCAGGGTAGAGGGTTTGGCCACTGGGCTCGACTGTTAATTGAGTTTCAGAAATCTTTAGAGAAATACATTGGTACCAATATCACATGTGGTTTAGACCGTAACGATACCCCCCCAAATGTCAAGTTGTTAATTCAACATAAAACTGATGTTTGTTTGTGTCTTCTCATTACAGGCTACATCAGCACCTTGTATATATATATATATATATATATTATACTCTGATGCATTTATTTGATCAAAAGTACTTTAAAAACAGTAATGTTGTCAAATTTTATTACAATTTAAAATATTTGTTTTCTATTTTAATGTTTATTCTTGTGATGGCAAAAGCTGTATTTTCAGCATCATTACTCCAGTCCTCAGTGTCACATGATCCTTCAGACATCATTCTAATATGCTGATTTGGAGCACAATAAGTATTTCTTAATATGATCAAAGTTGGAAACAGTTGTGCTGTTTAATATTTTTGTGGAAACAATACACAATTCTTTGCGGTGGGACGCTTTTACATCAGTGATGTTTGTTGTGAGAGTGAAACTAAAAATGGCTGGTAACATATCCGTTCACAGCTCACAGTAATGCGAAGAATGTGTGCTGTCAGGGTAGAGGGTTTGGCCACTGGGCTCGACTGTTAATTGAGTTTCAGAAATCTTTAGAGAAATACATTGGTACCAATATCACATGTGGTTTAGACCGTAACGATACCCCCCCAAATGTCAAGTTGTTAATTCAACATAAAACTGATGTTTGTTTGTGTCTTCTCATTACAGGCTACATCAGCACCTTGGCAGTCATCCTCAAGACGACGAATGCTAAACCATGGGTCAATGAGTTTGAATGTAAGGCTGAGTAATTTGCTCTCCAGCAGTCGTTAGCTGCTGATTCTAACATTAAACAGGCCATTGGAACTGCTCACGAGCTCTTTCATTTTCTCTCCCTATGCAGCGATCGAGCTGTCCTGCATGATAGAGTCAATCTCCACTACTAATCCCAGAATAGAATGGAAGAAGATTAAGAAGGGAGAGCCCAGTTATGTATATTTTGAAAAAGAAATAGCAGGTAAGCTATACAACACTCTACTGAACACTATGCCATACAACAGTTGCTAACATTCAGTTAATGCAATACTTGACATGAAAGTACAGTATATTTCTACAACATTTAATAATGTTGGTTAATGTTAATTTCTACATAAACCACTATTAAAAGATTTGGGGTTGTAAGATTTTTTTATATATATATATATATATATATATATATATATATATATATATATATATTATACTCTGATATATTTATTTTTCAGCCCTGATTATAAGGAATGAGATAATCTACAAAATAAAAGAAATCAAAGCTCAATAATAGGCAACTATATGAACACCACTGAAATACTGCATGGTGCAATACACTCTCCTCAGCAAGCAGTCAGTGTTAAACAAAACACACGTCAGGCTGCACTTACCATTTTTTTGTTATTCTACTTGATCATGTGAAGAACAAGACTCTACAGGGCGTGTTCAGGGCTATATGAGGAAACCTCTGAAACTGCATCTGAGTTTAATCAGGGGTCTAAAAGGGGAAAGAGCAGCATGTTCAGTTGGCCAGGATGCTTGCAGTTGGAGTCACTAAGGTGCATGTGTGTGAGGATGCTTTCTCTTCTCTGAGATGGTCTCTTGTGTGCCATGCAGTGAAGCCCGTCGTGCCCAGATGCTCCGTACCCAAGTCCGTCCCGGTAGGCAAACCCGCAGAGCTGCATTGCTTGGAGAAAGAGGGCTACCCAAAGTCCCAGTACCAGTGGTTCCGCAACAAGGAGGAGATCCCAGAGGATCCCAAGAGCAGCCCAAAGTTCTTCAACTCCACCTACACCCTGAGCGGAGAGATGGGCACTGTGGTGAGTTGGGAAAAAGAGGCGATGGGGTAGGCGTAGGGATATTTTTGGCGAGCCAGTTGATGTGCGATGGGCTCAGCCATGAAGGGAATCTGCTGCCCTCATTTGCACATTCCAGAGTGCCATTCTCCGCCATTTGTACTCCGTGCCCTCGTCAACCTTCACACCACTTTTTAAAGTCTGACCTGCGCTTGCAGTACAGCCTCTTCCCCCCTGAGGAGACAACCTCTGAAGAGTTTACTGTGTGTCTTTTAAGATCTGCAAGAGCCTCGCTCAACACTTCTGTCTTGCTTTTATAACATACGCATACACAAAGATGCTTCTAGGTTTCATTTGTTTGATGAGAAGGTCCTTAAATTTAGTTAATATTTCATCATGTCATTTTAATCAGTTTTGGCATCTAATTTTAGGTGACTAAAAACATTTTAGTTGATGCAAAAGTTCAAAAATAAACCAAAGATTTAAACATTTAGTATATTAATTTTCAAAAAGTGGTCACACTTTAGTTTAAGGTCCAATTCTCACTATTAACAAACCATTAACTATGACTTTTGCCTCAATAAACTTCTGATTTGCTGATTTTTAATCGTTAGTAAGGTAGTTGTTAAGTTTAGGTATTAGGGATGTAGTATATGATCATGTAGAATATGTGCTTTATAAGTACTAATAAACAGCCAATATGTTATTAATAGGTATGCTACTAAGCAACTAGTTAACAGTGAGAATTGGTCTCTATACTAAAATGTTACCAAAAAGGTTTAGTCCACAGAAACATTGTTAGTTCCTTGTCAATATCTTGCAGTGTTTTTTCTTGTCATATGTTAGCCATAACTGAATGATTTTAATTAATTTAAAAATGCACAAAATGTTTAAAATGAATATTTTGAAAAGAAAGTTAAAGAGAAATGTAATTATTATTTGTTACAATTTCGATTACAGTTACAATTATTATTTGAAAAACTATTATAACATTCTCATTTTTTAATCCATTTAATGCATCCATGCTAAATAAATATATATATATATATATATATTTTTTTTTTTTTTTTTTTATAATATATATTTTAATTCAGATTTTTCATATATATTTAGATTTATGTTTTTTACAGTTATGTAAAAAATTTTTTTGGGGGGGGGGTTGTATGTTACCCTAGTTAAAAATATACCTTGGTTTTGA